CCCCCCACACACACAAATACGCACATTCAATGTATCCTGGCAGGCATGGCATTCTTATTCCTTTCTTAATTGATTGCTTTGCCTCTTCTTATAGATTCTGTCGACGAAGGTGCTTTTCAATGGAGCTGGGCGAAGAATCGATTTCTGAACCGACTCCCACGATTGATGCTACGGGAGTAAAGCTCCGGCTCCTGTTTACGTAAACCAACGGTTACCAGTTGCTCTGATCATTCAAATCTTCTTTGGTTTTTAGAATGTATTTTTGAAAAATAAAAGTTGATGCTTCTTAGTGTTCCGAAATCAAGGTTATCCTAAATCCTGAAGATGTTCGGAGACAACCAGGTAATCACCGGAAGAAATCACATCATTAGAAAGTTAGTAATTGGGTTCGGAATCGATTCCAACGATTCCTAGCTTTCAATAATCGGGAACCTAACCGCCCAGCACTACTTTTTCAACCAGATGGGATAAAAGTAAAGTATATAGGGCCTCACCCCCACCCCCCCCTAATTTGTCTTTGTGCCCAGGAAAATCACAATCTACTGTTTCTTATTCGCTCAAAGACATAGCTGCAAACCCACCGTGATCCGTTAGACGCAAGAGTCCTGTAATCAACAGTGAAATTCAAAAGCTATAATTTTTCAAACATTTAGCAATGCGACTTAAAAGTTAATTGTCTACTGTGAGTGTTAAATGCCTCTATTTCCCTCCCTCGCACCAAAAGGCCCAATAGGAGGCAAAAGAGAGGACCCAATTGATTACATTCTTCCCTTAGGCGATCTCATTCATTCTTTAAGAGGTCAATTTGTCCCGCGGGCCACTTTATTGGACCCTAGACACTATAGGAGTGACGCGAGCCGTCCTATTTTTTCACCCCAATGTATTATTTCTGCTTAGAGGAAGGTCGCAATTTCACCCATTTTAAAAATTAAAAGTAATAAAAAAACAACCCCAAAACGAATAAAATAAGAGGGGAACAATCTTAAATCGAGACCCCAGGACAACTGAAAGTACAAACGGGAAAATATCATCATCATCATCATCATCATCATCATCATCATCATCATCATCATCATCATCATCATCATT